AAGCATGCTGAGTCAGTGAGCAAGTTTGAGTTGAACCTGATCTTGAGTTTGACGCTACAGTTCTTAAAGGCACTGGACGGAATAGAGTTGATGGGTTATATAGTTAGAAATCGAAAAGAAGTGCAATGAGGAAAGCGAGTGGGAAAAAAGAACCAAAAACATCATAGAAAGCCCTAAAATTTCCTTTGTCCCTCCCTGGATGGAACTGATGCATAATTGCGCTCGCAAGTGCCAGTAGAAATGTGAAGTGTAACGGCAGTAATGGAAAAACGGGAAGAAACCGTCAACAAGGCCAGAAATAAACCCCTCTCTCTCGTAGCAGAGCGAAATAACACTGACTTATGGGAGGGCTCAATACTGTTGGGCGGGGTCAACGCTGCTTCCTAAGGCCTTAGCGGCTCCGCCTTGTCAAATGGGTACCCGACAGGAGGCCCGTCGCGCGGCAAGAAGGCAGAGTCAGCGGACGAGTTGCAGCGCGTACTGTAGTGATTTCGCGTCAAGTTAAATAGAATGTACCATTGTACGTCCTACATCGCACATCACGCGCTGCGACTCGTCCGCTGACTCTGCCTTCTTGCCGCGCGACGGGCCTCCTGTCGGGTACCCTTGTCAAATGACCCGAGAGTTGAGTACGTGCCTTACACTTGCGTATCGCTGCATTTTTTCGACTAGATATCCCCCTCCCCGCCTTTAATCAGTTGTGTTTTTTTGTTTTTGTTACGTTCAAGTTCGTAACTGTAAGCGCAAGTTTAAAAATTGCTTTGAGTTATGTTGTCGCACAGCTTTGACTTCCAGAACTGTACTAAGCACTCCTATGTGCAGGGGGTCTTCAAGCCAGGATACGAGATACTTACAAGCCTCGAATTTTTCCGGGAGAACGTTCGTCTGAACTCCTCCATGCAAGATTGTCAAATTCAATGTCGTGACGTCACCAAGTGTTAAACTGCTGTTGTCTTCTAGGAGACGTCGTTGTTCTTCACGGTACTTTAGCGCTTCGTTCATGACATGTCTCTGTAAAACGTTGCATTGCATTATTGTTTATTGTTTAGTACGTCGAACAGACATGCCGTCGAACACTTGAAGATAGTGTGTAAAAAGTCCAGATCCAAAAACGATTGAACTCAGCAACAAGGTAAAAAAAAAGCTAAGGGTAACTACACTACTTCTTTTAGGGTACCCAGACATTGGGCATTGCCGATCAGCGACAACGAGTTAAGAGCTTATAGTGTAGTGCAAGCCATTATATGTGACTCCCTCCTCACACTAACTGTAAAGATTAGTTAGAGGAGTATTCCCCGACTAGCACGGTAGGGTAGCCCCCTGCGGTCCGGTAATGGAAATCGGTGTGGTACCTAGAATCTGGCCTCGAATTCTTCAAATTGCTGTGCGCGCTGATCGTCATAGGGGAATTTGCGCCCCGCCCCTCCCCCCCCCCACCTTATCCTCACATTGGTCAGCATTACCGCTTTGCCAGATTTTGTCACATCATAACGAAGGATCAACTACTGAGAGCATAGAGTCATCACGTTGCACCAATTTTAAAAATTTTACGACCCCCCTCTTTTAGCGAGTCTCAATACTTCCCCTCCCTCAACACTCATACGTACCAACTTGTATTTGTGCGTCTCTGCCTACTTCGGGCGTTACAAAAACGGATTGACGCGTAGTGTCGCTTTATCGTTGGCACGCACAGAATTTCCGCTCGCCCAGCACTTGAAAAGTTATGCGTCTCACCATACGTAATCCGACTGTGGACACTTTTACGATTACGACCTCCCTCCTGACTTATGTTACTACGGGTTTATATGGACCATAGCGGGCCCGAGCAATCACACAAGCTCACATGGCCCATGAGTGATCAAGGGCTTTTAGCTTGTTTTTCCCTTGCTCTCTTTATGAACTTGTTCTCACCAAGAACGACGCCCTTATTCACCTTTCTCATCCGCAGAGCAAGCCTAAATTTGATAAACTTTAAAAGAGATGGCTAACCAGTTTCTCCACCGCTGTGTTCTCGATAAACTTTGACCCGTGCCCGGGTGAACCAGAGCATGTGACTTTTACCCCTGAAGAAATACTGTGGTCAACTCAGTAAATGAGAACATCTCGCATTGAATACATTCAGAACTATAGCCGCACAATACGGTACTTATTGTTGTGCTTACACCATGTGCAGCGTTCTGCGTAATAGACTTTGTAGGTATCCGTCTCACTGGCGAGTCCTTCATCAAGTGTGAAACCGACGTTCAACTCACGAAACTCCTCCATCTGACAAAATTTGGCCATTCCATCCGGCCCGGCAATTTCTTCATCTGAAAAAAGTAAGACACTTGCGCTCATGCCGTTTGGGAGGAGAGGTGGGTTGGGGGGGGGGTGGGTTGGGGTGGGGAAGATAGGAAACATTCAATTCACGAAGCGCTTAGCCAATGCCTAAAGAGAGCGGAATTCTGGGGAGGAAATCTGTGCCAATATTGGACGTATTTATTGTTTCTCTCTTGGCTTCCCTGCATTTCCCTCTCTGAGCTTATTCTTTAAGTGCCAATCTACTGCCTATTTTGAATGTCTTCCCCTCCCCCCAAGGACTTGAGCGCTGTCACACTTAGGTTTGTGATTACCTGGTCCCCAGACAATATGGATCGTCCTTTGCCATTTATTCTGGCCACGTTGAAAATGTCGACGAATAGCCTCGAAATATTGTGACCCAACGCATTTCATGTCCTGAGCGCCACCGAGCGTAGATGTCGCCGTTTTCGTCCTTGTAAGCAGAATATGGGTCATATTTCCACTGATCCTAAAAAAGGTGTACAGTTTTCGAGGCCGGTTCATCTAATAGTTATTCCAAAATCAAAGTCACCACAAAAGTAGTACTCAAGAAAGGATGCATCGTGAGATGTGAGCGATTAGATGCACAGCCCCCCTCCCCGCCGACAGCGAGCCGGGTGGCTGACGAACATTTTTGAAACTACGAAAATCCTTCCAACATCATTTCAGACATAACTATACCTGTCCACTGCCTTCTTGTATCCCAAAAACTAGTCCAGCTCGATTAAACCCCGCTCAACCCATTTGCTGATAGCGACTAAATTCAAATTCTGAAATTTAAAATTTCTTAAAAATAGTAGCATTGTGAAAACTTTCCAAGTCTGCACAGAGAATTTTCCGTTCGAAGGAACGTCGGATGAAGCGTGAAAAAGAATTCCCTAAAGGACCCGGGAAAGGGGTGCCAAGGATCGTACGTACTTGCCTGCTCCACACGGCTCGACTAAGCCACGCTTATTTGAATTAGCCGCTACGCCGTAATCCTCGTTTCGGGTCATGGGGTGTGCGCGACGTAACTCGTCTAAATGCTAGAAATAAAAAGGATAAAGAATAAAGCATTCGCCGTTGATCAATCCCTTTTTGGAATGCACACGCAATCCCGTTTTGGGATGCGGCACGCATTCTACTTCCATTTGTACATTCGTAGTGGCGTTTGAATGCGATGTGGCCTATACAATGACTTGCGGGGGCCAGCCGATGTACAAGTCAGTGTTTTTTTTTATCCTCCCAGACAAGTCTGGTACCAATTAACCGACCCCGGAGGGATGGAAGGCTTGGTTGGCCCGGGCGACTCACGACCCAGGATTTGATCCCCGGACCGCTCGCGTGGTAAGCGTGCCACTTGCCACTACACCACTTCCGCCCAATGCCTAAATAAGTTCCCAAAATCCGACTCTATAAGATCCTAGAGCCATTGTAGCGCAGCTTCGGGCCTCAAAACCGGCACATCTGTGTTGCACGTGGGCCCATTCTATCCCATGCACTGAATATGCTTCGACACGATTTCTGCTGGGGGTGTTGCCTTGAAGGTGTAGTTCGGGCTCAGACCCACCTAAGGAGTCCTTACCGCTTTGCTAAAAGTGACCTCCAAAGGCAAAGGTAGCGTCAGCTTTCTACATCGAAACGTCACTAGGACCCTAGGCGCCATGGACTTCTAACAGACTCCACCAAACCTAACATGGTCCGCCCACCGTTCGATATCTTGTCTGCGTCGCCACGTTGATCTGCTATGCTCTCTCTTCTCGGACTTCTCTACCGCTCTCCGCGCTCACATTATCTCTCATCTCCCTGCCTGTCTTTTGAACTTCTCCACAAGCATGGAAAATCGTATTTCCTGTGTATTTTCAGGATTTTTCTCCTTTTTTTTTTCTCTCCACACGCGGTCCACCTCCTCATCCCTACTTTTCACATTTGAGTGGAATCAACCCATTAATTTATGCCTGATTCTCCTCTCAGTAACGCAAAATGTTCACAATAATGATGGGTAGAACCAAATTTGATTTCATGATTTGCAGAAGTGCAACAGGGCGCCTATGTTGATTTGCCTAACGCACATCTATTTTGGGACGGAGTTGTGTCATGGAAACTAAAAGCAATTCCATTTCACAACGAATAGGAGAAAAACCAACCTTGAACGTCGGCACGACATCCGTATGGGAGTAAAGCATCACTGACTTCAGCTCAGGTCGGAAACCAGGTATCGTCATGATGATGAACGGTTTGCCGGCCACAGTCTGCAACAATTCGGACATTAACTGTGAACGGATCCTAGTAGATTTCCCTTATTTCACGGCCGCAACCTAGCGCTTAAAGGAGGAATTCACGATTAGAATGAAGGTCGAAGAAAGGGAAACTGACCTAGTTGAGGGACCCACGGACCTCCTGAGGGTGCGAACTGACGCGCAATTCGCATGGAAAAATTTGACCTCGGCGACCTATCATGCCTCAAAGCTGGCGGGTCCGGCGATCTCCGCCCACCGATCATCTGATCACTCGCCGTAGTTCAATACGTGGCGAGTGATTAGATAGCTGAGAGAGCGTAGTGTTGAAGAGGGCACAGCGATGAGAGTCGCATCAATGCTCGAATCAACGGGCAAGGAAGGGGTCCCATTTCTCGGGTTCTGGGCCGTTTCTCATGGTTCTTCCTTCTTTCGTGTACCACGTTTCTCATGGTTCTTCCTTCTTTCGTGTACCACTCACCATCCCTAGGTTAATTTGAAATGGGTTGCTTTTTCATCGTGAATTCGTCCTTTAAAGCAAATAGTAGAAGGGTAAAGCATTTTTGTTGGAATCGTGGGGCCAGTCGGCTACAGGAGCGCGACGTGCTGTGTATAGACAACACGCCCACTAGTCTGTGGATCTGTACGCGCGTTGCTAAATGTCCTAACCCACCAGTCAGCCAATCACAGGCGTGTTGACAGCGCTCCTGCAGCCTCTTACAAGGTTCGCGGATCCTCCTACAAGTTCACATGAGTGTGTGGCACTCGATTCCTGACTTTTGTAGGACGAACGTCGCAATAATTGACCCCGGGTAATTTCAATTGCTTCTCCTTTTTCCTTCGGAAGTTTTACATTTTTCCTTTTTTTACTATCCGAAAATGAATCGTCAAAATCACTTGCCTCAACCGCACGCCGTTGAATGCCGAGCTCATCCGCCAGATTGAAAAGGAAGTTTTGACATGCGGCTGAAAATAGTAATTTCAACCAGAAAATGACCCCAAAAATGTACCACGCCTTCAGGACCGAACAAGCTTTACAGTTGAAGAGTTTTCACACTTACCGTAATCAGGGTTGGGCTGTTCGGTGTTTACTCGAAGATACTCCCTAAATTTCGTAACCGCGATGTCTTCCATCGTGCCTGAAATGAAGTACAGTACGCCTGGAACGTAAGCCATGCTTTTTTGTTCATCGGCAAATTATAACAACAGTGGCCTGTCAATGAATTTTCACGTGCACATAGACCTCCTTGAGATTCATTATAACCAGGGTCGATTGCAAAGCGCTTCTGGGGCACATTGAGGTTAAGTAGCTACAGCACTTCCTTCTACGAGCCATGGAGACGTGAACATGTTACGAATAGATGGGATGACCCAATGATTTAACCCAACTAATCACAGATTCGGAACGCGCCATTAATTTTTTTTTCAGAATATTACTATTACTTTATTTACTGCCCCTTCGAAAGCACCTCCCCCTCCCTCCCCGAGGACAGAAATGGTGCGTAGGAGCGCTCGGTAACAGAGATGAGGGTAAGGATGGCTGAAAGTGGGAAGAAAACAAGAGGAACATTATAAATACTGATATTAAGGCCTTAAAATTTTTATAAGATCGACCGTGGCATGAATGAAGAGACATAGTGAGTAGGGGAGAGAGAGGTGAGAGCGACACCGAAGAGAGAGCGCAGACGCTGCATAGCGAACGATAGAAGGACCACTCGCTACCACCAATCGGGAGTATCTACAAGGCCCTAGCTGCCTGTTACGCACTTTCGATGAATTCGAGTAGCGCATCCATAAACAGCTCT